CAATCCATATTTTTCACCATTAAAGGATTAAAACTTTTTAAAGAAAATATAAACCAGTCAACATTTCCAATGGAGAGTTCATAATGAGAATAACTCATCTGATGAAGGAGAAAAATTCATAATGAGAAGAACTTGTTCAGCCTTGGTTCAATTCCATCACAGAATGAGGTGGATTAACATTTCCAGTGGAGAGTTCATAATGAGAAGAACTCATCTGATGAGGGAGAAGATGTTCATAATGAGAAGTTGGATAAACATAAGGAGTTGGAACAGCACCGACCTTGGCTCATCCATTGCATATGGATTTGGATCAACATCACCATTTTGCTCATTCATCACATAATGAGTTGGATCAACATCATAATTTCGCTCGTCCATCACATAAGAAGTTTGATCAACATCATCATTTCGCTCGTCCATCACATAAGGTGTTGGATCAGCATTATCTTGGCTTGTCCATCACATAAGGAGTTGGATCAGCATCAACTTAGGTTAACCATCGTAAAGGAGTTGGGTCAACATTTATGAGAGAATAAGTTCATAATGAGAAGAACTTGTTCAATCAGGTCTTACCCATCGCGGAAGGAAGTGGATTGGCATCCCCATCGAAGAGTTCATAATGAGAAGAACCAGCCCGATGAGAAAAGCTTGTAGCGCCAGAATTGCAGCAGTACAGGTCGAATAAAAAATGGTGTTTATTATCTTTGCTTCTTTCTTGTTCCACAAAAATGAGCAAAGAAGGAAGTTGTAATCACCATTTTTATCCCAAAAATAAATAATAATATAAATATAAATATAAATAAAAAATCATCAAATCAATCCTTGAATATCTGGGGCATTCAATGCCCCGATTGTGAACCGGTCACTGTACCACCATCTCCTTGCTATCTCCATACTGCCATCACTGTGCCACCAAATCTCAACTCAGCTACAGCAATCACAAGAAAAACAAAAAAGGGAAAATGTAACTTTTACTTTTCTTTAAAAAATATAACCAGGTTATTATAAAACCAAGAGTGCAATGTAAAAAGAGGGGACTTTCTAGATGATTCTGCTCTAAAAAAGAGAGGGCATTTTGTAACATTTTTTTTAAAAATAAATCCAACAAATATAAAAAGAAGCATTTAAATGTATCAACAAAAAAAGCAAGCACCCATTTTTATATTATTTTCGAAGCAAGAAAAGAAAAAAAATAAAAGAGATATGAAAGAGGTTTTACCTCTCGGCCGGAGCTTGACTGAAGACTGGGATCTCCTTTGGCCAATTTAAATAGTCAGAAGAGAGAAGAGAGGTTGGCGAGCAAAATATCTCAAAATCGACACAATCCAATGATGGACGACGAAGATCGAGGTGGGGTAAGCCAAAGAGTTTCGATCATATTTCACAGCGTTGGAGGTTGTTTCGTGTAAGACGAAGCCCATATTCGTGACCACGGCATCGGGGGTGAGAAAACTGGTGTAGTTTTATGGCCAACGACCATCAGCGATGACGGTCGATGTGGCGACCGACAGCTGGACTCCCACTGGATTATGGGAGGCTTAGAGAGAATAGAGAGGCTCTCTCTAAAAAAACGAGTAAAATAAATGAGAGAAAAATGAAAAAGGGGTGATAAAGGGTATTTATACCCAAAGCAAAACGGTGCCGTTAGGCCCCTTGGGCGTTTTGGTCCCGAGGGTCTAACCCTCTCCGCAATCCTCTCTATTTCCTCCCGTGTTTAATTTGGTCCCAAATTTCAACATATTTCATTTATTTTCTTAAATTTAGTGTCCTTGCTTTGTTATTTTCCATTTTGTGTTTTAATATTGTTTTTTGGCTAAATTTCTTTCAGGTCCTTGTTGTTTATTATTGTTTTTATGCTTTAGTCAATGAATCTTATTTTTTATTTATTTTGATTTTGGCACTCTATTTATTTCTTTTAAATTTAGTCACTTTGTTGTTATGTTATTTCTCTGATATTAACCACTGAATTTTATATTTTTCATTTTAGCCACCATTTGAACTCTGCTTTTTTATCTTATTTATGATTTGGATATGCTAATTCCAATTTATGCATTTTAGTCACATTTTATTTCTGATTTGGCTATTGTTTTTTTATTTTATTTTATTTCATTTTGGTCTCTTATGGTTTATATTCAAATATTAAACCTTAATACGACCTTGCGATGACCCACCTTGGGGTATGACTTGTGTTATTTATGGTCCGGGTAACAATTAAATTAACCCCTAACCTCTTTTCTTATTCAATTAATTTATTATCTATTATTTACATTTATGTTCTTTAAATTTCTATTATTTCAATTTATGCATTTATTTTTCAGTATTTACATTACAGACCTTTAAATTTCATCTTTAAATTTTGTGCACTATTTTGATTTAATCTTTATATTCTGATTTCTTACATTTTGGTCCTTTTACTTTATGCTTTAATTGCATCTTTGTATTTTTAATTTATTGCAAGTTAGTCCTTTTACTTGGTAATTACTTTTAATTTTGCCTTTAATTTTAAATTTATTTACATTTAGTCCTAATTTTAGATTTTAATTATTAAACCTATTAATTTATATTTTTAATAATTTAGTCCTAATCTATATTATTTTTATTTTAAGTTTAATCCTTAAGTTAGGTGAATTCTTAATTTGGACCTCGCTTTTGCTCGAGGTTCCAATTTAATTATTTGAATCGTATAATTAATTATGATTAATATTAGAGCCTCCATCTTAGGCCTAATTTCATATTTAATCCTTACATTAGGAGAATTTTTAATTTGATCATCACTTATACTCGAGGTTCCAATTTAATTATTCGAATTGTATAACTGGTTAAAATTAATTTAAGTCAATATTAGAGCCTCCACTTTAGATTATATTTCAATTTAGTCCCTTTACTTTAGGGAGTAATTTGAGTTGGCTCTCGCCTAAATGCTCAAGGGACCATATCGATTATTCGATTCAATAACTGGTTAAAATCAAGTAAGATTAATATTAGAGCCTACATTTTTAGGTTTATGCCTCTAGGTTCTTTAATGAGTTGACACTTTAAGATAAAAAAGGCCTTAATTTGCTCTTAGTTTAATGATGGTTAATAATAAATTGTTTGATTGTATCATGTTTTAAAATCTAAGGCAATGTTCACTTATTGGGGAGTCAATAGTATATTTCCCACAAGTATGCTCAGTGGGTGTTTGCTAGTGATTCCCGAAATAGATCAACATCCTTTTCAAGACTGCATCATGATTTCTAAAATAGTGAGACAATGTTCAGTTATTGGCCACAATAGTAGATCTCCAAAATTATATCTGATGGATAAACTCTTCGTTTACATTATACCATCGAGCCAGTACTTGAACATTATGCTAGTGAGCCAATGCTTGAAAACAACAAAGGTGTCAATACACATCATTAAAATATAATTTTTGTCATATTCAATTAGCATGTTAACGTCCAAATCATACTATTGTCAAATTTTAACAGAAAAGAACGAATTTAGAATATATGAATAATCGGGTGATCATTTTGTAACTTTTAATAGTCTATGACTTAACAAAACAATGCTCTATAGTCGAAGAACCATTTTGTAAAATTTAATAGCTGAGAACTCAACAAAACAATACCTTATAATCGATGATCATTTGTATACTTTACTCATTAATTTAATTATTCTAAAAATTATCTAATTAAAAGTAAAATTTCTTATTATACATAATTTGATAATTTATAATTAACTTAACATATCTATTATTTTTCCATTCTTTGATTTAATTTATAATTTACAAAAATAAAAATTTAAATGTCTAAAAGATTAAAAAATGGTAAAGACGAAAATGGGTTTTTCTATATATAAAAAAAAACTTAGAAAATCCAGAGCAAAAGGACTAAAAAACAATATCTTTATAAATCAAAGGGTAAAATACACAAATGGTCCCCTGCCTATAAGGTGTTGCTTTATTGAGTCCCCTAACTATTAAAAGTTACAAAATGATCACATACTATAAGATGTTGTTTAATTGAGTCTCCAGCTATTAAAAGTTACAAAATGGTTAACTGACTATTTATATGTTCCAAAATCATTCTTTTCCGTTAATATGGTGATTGAATTATGATAAAATCATATTTTAATGATGTCTATTGGCATTGTCGTTGCTTTCAAGCACTAGCTCGTCAACATAATGTTTCAAGTACTAGCTCGAAAGCATAGCGTAAAAAACGATTTGATCTACAAAATACTACTAAAACAATTCTAGGATCATATATAATCATATTTCAATCAGCAGATTAACGTCTATCTCAGACAACCGCCAATTTTCTAACAGCAAAGGACGAGTTTGCAACATATAAATAGTTGAATGACTATTTTGTAACTTTCAATAATAAAAAAACTCAACAAAGTAGTGTCTTATAGTTAGGAGACTATTTTGTAATTTTTAATAATCAATATACTTAAGAAAACAATACCCTATATAATTTGTGTACTTTACCCTAAATTATACGGGAGAGCATACAAAAGGGCATTGAGATAATAAAATCAACTCTCAACATCAAATTAGGAGATTAATTTTTTTCTAACGATAAGTAAGTATATTTGACTGACTAAGTTACTCATCTTTGTTCCCTCGTATTCCCTTAGGTTATAAATTCTAGACCTATTAAGAGCACTCCACTTTTATTAGATTTAGAACTTGTCCAAAAGAAATTCCCTAATACTTGCTGAAATCATTAACCAATACAAAATTTTTTATGAATTCTTATTTTAAGAAAATAATAGAAATTTTATAAACAAATATTAACTTATGATCATCCCAAATTATTAAAAAAAATCATGGATTTGAAACCAAATTTATAAAATCCTATTAAAATGACTAGCGTTTATGAAATCCACCAAATAGGTAGTCTAATGAAGATAATGTTACTTGCCATACACGAACACACACAAAAGGTAATGCCAGTAGGTAGAAAGACTGTTAATATTTGGAAGAAAAAAGAGTGCCTTAAATTCATTTACTTCTAAACATAAAAATTCAAAAGTAATAACAAGTTGTTGTAAAAGATATCGTAGCCATGGATTCTACAGTAATCAACTTTGTTCTTGAAAAAATGCAAGAGTAAATGATCTCCAATGGGGTTCTTACATGGCTTTGGTTGGGATCCGGTTACGAGAACGATTCTTTCGCTTGCTCCGTCGGCGAACGAAGGGTGATGCTTTAACCACTCTTTGCGTTTTTCGTCCCAATCTTTAACCGGCTTTTCTACGGAGTAGCTCATCTCTGGATCGTCGTAAAAGGTCTGGTCTTTCGGGTCGGCCTTCAATTTAACTCCGAACCCACTTTCCTTGCAGCCCACCGAATTAGACAATGGGTCGGCAATGGAGAAACTGAAGTTAAGATTTGAAGTGAAAAAATACCAAAATGTGCAAACTAAGAATATAGCTAAAACAACACCACCGCAGTGAAGAAAACCGTCGGAGAAACACCAGAACGACCGGTTTCGAGGCTTCGCCATGGGAGAAAACTGCGAATGAGATGACTCAGGAGACACCATTCTTTTTTTTTAGGTTTTTAAGTTTGGTAATTAAGAAAAGAGAAAATAACCTCAGTGACCAAAAAATCCCATATAATATACGATTTTAACCAACTTTTTCCGGATTTACCAAAATGACCAACAAAATCGCAATGCGATCGCTAATTCGCAACGCGATCTCCATTATCGCAAATTCGCGTTGCATTTCGCGTTGCGATAGTTGGAAATCGCGTTGCGATGGTATACAGTGTCGTTGCGATTTTCCCAATTCGCAATGCGAATAAGTAAATCGCAACGCGAATTGGGAAAATCGCAATGCGATACTGACTATTGCAATGCGATAGTTACTATCGCAATGCGATAATACAAAATCGCAACGAGATACTGACTTTCGCAACGCGATTTACATAGCGCCATTCGTATTAACGCGTATTTTTTTTTCAAATTCCAAACACGAATTTTTTCTTAATAAATCAGAAACTGAACCGTCCACAGTAATCGCAACTCATAACCTCAAACCCAAAATCACAACACTCAATCCCATCTCCATCTCTCACTCTCTACGGTGAAATCCGTCCCCATCTCCAAAGATTTCCGTCCCCATCGCCGGCGAAATCTCTCACAACCATTCACAGTCAAAAATCCCTCACAATCATTCAGAAATGGAAAATCAACCTCCGAGGGTTAGTTTTTTTTATTTTTATTTTGAAATTTTTGCATTATTTTAGGTTTTTTCATATTGAGATTGATGATAAGTTTACTGGTAATTTCAATAATAGATTAACCATTTCACTTAGATTTCTTATTAAATTCATTCGATTGTTGCCAATACTGCTAAACTGTTTAGCCTGTGAAGTTAGTATTTGTCTTTGTTTTGTCTTTTGGTTGAAGTAATGCAGAAGAAGAATAGTTTCAAGAATGAAAATCGCAACGCGGAAATAACTATCGCAACGAGAGAATCGCAACACGAAATAAAAAACGCAACGCGAAACAAAATTCGCATTGCGATTTTCATTTCGCGTTGCGATTTTTATTTCGCGGTTGCGATTTTCATTTTGCGTTGCGATTGTCTAGTCGCGATAGTCATTTCGCGTTGCGATTCTCTCGTTGCGATTCTCTCGTTGCGATAGTCATTTCCGCGTTGCGATTCTCATTATCTCGTTGCGATTTTCATTTCAACCAAAAGACAAAAACAGTGTTGCAAATTTTAGTTTCAAGAATAAACTACTATTTATGTTTATTGTTTTGTTTTTGGTATATCTTGACAGTGTAGTTTTTGGTATATCTAACTTTGTATGTTTATTGTTTTTTTGTAGAAATTTTTTTCGGCTTCATTGACATTAAGGAATAAAGTTAGCCTAGCCACTACAATTGCTTCGAAGCTTTCACCTGCACAAAGAAAATTGTTTGAAGAAACCTACTTCGGGCCATGGCTGAGAGTACAGCATCCGGGTGGAGATGCTAGTTTGACCCATTTGTGGCTTCAGACCATGACTAGCGATCTACCCGACAGTATACAACGTGGTGAGGAAGAGATATGGTTTCATTTTCCACCGGCGTATACTTGTTTTGGGCGGAAGGAGTTCTGCTTAATCACTGGTCTACGATTCGGACACGATGATGTAGGCCGGTACACTCGTCATATCACCCGCCCATCATGGTTATCCAGGGTTTTTCCTGATGAGTCAATAGAGAAGCCGAACTTACACGTCGACGACATGAAGAAATTGTTTAATAAGAAAGATGGTTTTACTCGGATGAATGACGTCGATGTTGTCCGAGTATGCCTTCTACTACTTTTGTATGCCGGCTTTTTAGGCAGAGAGGCCAGACAACCTATTCCTCAGGAGCTAATATTATTGGTAGAGGACCTAAATGCATGGAATCTGTTTCCGTGGGGTTCGTATATATGGAAAGCTACCTGGACTAAGTTGTCGTCTGCCTTTGATGACCGCAAAAGTTTGCGGGGCGATGGGTCGAAATACACTTTGTCAGGCTTTGTTTGGGCCTTTAAGGTAAGAATTTCTATATAATGTTTTCAAAATTATAATTAATTATTTAACAATTACTAATGTTTGTTATTATATTGTTTGTAGATTTGGATATTCGAGGCCTTTCCCGCCATGAAGACATATGCAATAAAAACTTCAAATGATATTCCCAGGGCTATTTCCTGGAAGAGGAAACGTCTGTTGGATTGGGAAGACTTAATACCATATGCGACAATAAATAATGTAAGTTAACACAAATACTATCATATATAAACAAGTTATTAATAGTAGACGTTTAACTTTGTTTGAGTTTTTATATTTTTAGGAGGCCAACATTCCATTAATGAGACTGACACCCATGGAGGCTGAGCTTGCCACTGATTGGTGGCAAGCTAGTCAGCGTTTTCTTGATGGCACGAATGATGAGCAGCCTCCACTTCCTCTACTTCGAGAGCCATCACCTCACCCAGAGCCATCACCTGATCGACCCGACTATACACCTCTACAACGAGAGCCATCACCTATCCCGTCACATCATCGAGCCTCTTCTCCACCATCACCTCATGATAGGCGACCGGAAAAGATGCCACGACTTCTATCTCCCTATTCTCCACCTCCACGGGATGAGTCAAGGGAGTTATGTGATGAGGTCAATGCCTTGCATGAGGAGATCGGTACTCTACTTGATAACGATGGTGCATGGCGTGTGGAGGTGTCTACTTTACGTGGTGAGGTTGCCGCTCTACGTGAGATGGTAGTATCGTTGCAGAATGAGGTTCATACTCTACGCAACGAGGTAAGTTTAAGATTTTCCATATTTAACTTGATGATAAATTTACTCGTAATTTCACTTAAATTAACCATTTCACTTAGATTGCTTAGTAAATTTATTCGGTTGCTGCCAAAACTGCTAAACTTTTTACTTTAACACTGTGAAGTTAGTATTTGTCTTTGTTTTGTCTTTTGGTTGAAAGTTTGAAATATATTTATCTTTGTTTTCACTGTTTAAATATCATGTCTGTTTATTTACTGATATTTGTATTTAATTATTTAGCGGACCGATAAGGTGGATGCTTTACGTCGGGTTTTTCTTGCACGACAGAGTTCACGCATCAGACGGCGTGCACGTGCTATTAAGTCTCCGTATACCCCAATAGTGCGAAGACACCGCAAGAAGAAGCCTGACTCGCCTGTCATCCCTCAGGAGTCCATTCCTATCGTTGAAGAGGCCCCTATCATTCCTCGAGAGTCCCCTCCCACCGTTCAAGAGGCCATTGTCATCATTGAAGAGGTCCCTCCCACCATTCAAGAGCCCGATTCATATGGCGTCATATGTAGGATTCTTGAGAAACCCTCTGACGTGCCGGACATGATGGATTCAAGTTGGCTCTCGTATGAGTTACCGGCCAGTACCATACCGGTATCTGAAGAGGAGATGAAACAACTACCAGACACAATTCTGGATAACACCCTTTGGGCTAAGACCGCAGTTGATTTTTATCTACATGAGCGAAGCCAGGGGTGTTTCACTGACATATGCAAGCTCAATGATGATATCTATTTGTTGCTTGATCGGTCTTGGTGGGGCGTATTATTAGGGGTCGAAGACAATGGCTATTTCGATGGAGGGGTAAGTCTTATATTTTTCTTATATTTTCATTTGATTATTTTTTTGTAAATTTATGTAAGTTACTAATATATGTCTTTTTTTGTAAAACAGCATATCGATGCGTGGGTGTCACGTCTTCTAATAATTAGGAAACTTAAGGAAAATAAAAGAAATACACGATATACAATTATGCTGACGTCTTTTAACGCCGTTCACTTGAAGAATCAACGAGATGAATCATTTGCGTTGGGCAATGGACAAGCTAAACTTTATCCTACATGGTGGGAGGTCGATAAGGTTAGTGTTTATTTTAGATTGAGTTTAAAGGTATTCATAAATAAGTGCGCAAATGAATGAATTATTACTTATGATTGCAGGTGTTTATCCCTGTTTTGGAACGTAACCATTGGCTTCTCGTCGAGCTTCAGATCCCATCCCTTAAGGCAATAGTATATGACAGCATGATAAATTACATATCATTGGCTGATTTAAGAGATATTATTAAGGGATGGAGCTCTTATTTGGCTAAATTCTTGGATGCGATAAATTATTGGACTCGTTCTGGAAACAAGAAGCCAAAGAAACTCAATATTACAGTTAGCAGAGACGAGACCGCACCACAACAAACGAAAGGACCCAGAGGGGATTGTGGTCCTCTCGTATGCTTGGCGTTGGACCGTTTGATAACAGGAAGTATAAAGTATCTACCTCCCACCGATATAGATAGAGCTGCAGTAGGCTTGTGGTTTCGACATTATATGGCTAGATCGATATATACGAGACGCTGCCTACCTGCATCCGCGTTATAAAAATGTCCATAAACAAATGGTATGTTTATAGGCTTGTGGTTTGAAAATGTTTGGTTAAGTACCTAGAATTCAATAATTTGATGTTTGTAGGTTTTAGATGTGTAGAAAGTGTTGTTTGAGCAAATGTTTGGTTTATGCAGGTTAATCTCAGAAGTGAGCTGCGTGAAAATGATGTATGGCTGCAAAAGTTGATTCAATAGTAGAAGTGTTATTTTCTCTAATAATTATTGCTTATTTTTTGATTGTTTAATTGATTTGTAAAAGGTGATTTGTAAAAGTTGATTTGTTTAATTGATGTTAACATAATTCTTATTTGTGCTTGTTTAATTGATTGAAATGTAATGGTTGATTTTGTTGATTTCAATATGCATTATGTTGAAGGCAAAAAGTACTATCGCAATGCGAAATGAAAATCGCAACGAGAGAATCGCAACGCGAAAATGAAAATCGCAACGCGAAATTAAATTCGCGTTGCGATTCTCTCGTTGCGATTTTCATTTCGCATTGCGATAGTAATTTCTGCGTTGCGATAGACATTAAGATGATTGCCTATTAAGTGATAACAACTGAACATATCATAGCAATTTTCAAACTCAAGTTACTAATACATGC